CCATCTCGACCTCTCTCACCCAGAGTAGGAGATTCTCTACATCCTTCTCCTCGAAGACCTTTACGCTCACCATGAGCGGCTTATGGCGGAGAAAATCATTTGTCACTGACGGTGGCGTCATAGACGCAAATTATGCAGACATCTTCTGCTGCATGTGCTCTAGCAGCGCGTTGTCGTAATTTTTTAAACGTCTCTATACGCGCACCGATTGCCTCGGGGCCGTGTGCAGCAAGGTGTTGCATGCCCTCAGGGCCAAGCAAGGACATGAGTTGTTTAGCCCGTCCTGCATGCCCTGGGGCAGAGATTCTACCATCCTCATCGAGAAACAGTCGTAACGACTTAGGTGTAGATTGACTACAAGTGCTATTAAGTGCAGCGGGGCTGCCGTAGCTTTGCGCTAATAGGAAGCGTACTTCAGGTGACCGACCTCTCATTCTATACTTAGAACAAATACGAGTTTAGCGGATCGCAATCCGCTTACTCCAAGAGTGATTACACCCTTAACTTAGGGCTAATTAACTCTTCTGTTTTAATTTAAAAACTGACTTTATTTATTTATATCTGCGGCAAAGCCGCCTAATTTTAAATGCATAGATTTTCCTAAATATGTATAGTAAAATCCAAATACATGTATAACTACTGGCTATCCAACCCCGTACCGTATTCTTGTTTGGGTATGGTCACACCACGCCCATCTGGTGTGACACACACCCCTGTTACCAGGGTATGTGTAACCCCGTTACAGGATGAGTAGAGTTGAGATGGTAAGAAATTCGAAATTTCTCCTAGCGGAGCCATAGCGCCTTGTGCTTGTCTTTTAAGGCTGAGAGGTTGCGTACGAGTTTAGTTACTTGCGTGCACTACCTTGGCAAAAGGGGTGTTATCAACATGGGAAGATGTGAGCAACAAATGCGATCGTTCGTATAGTCAAAATTATCACCCGGGTGCGCTCGAAGCTCTTGTCTATCCATCAAAAAGTGGTTGGCTGTAACGGGGTTTCACGTGCCCTGGTATGAATGGTGTGGTCCACACAAGATAGTGTGATCACACTACGGTGTGCTTTACACAATATGTCGTGGCCACAAAATGGTGCGGCTACACTTAAACAAGAGGTCAACAAGTGGGTGTAACGGGGTTATACATACCTGGTAACAGGTGTGTGTGTCACACGAGATGGGCATGGTGTGACTGTACCCAAACAAGAATACGGTATGT